TGGCTGTAGATAGGGCCTTTCAAGTTTAGTGGCCACCATAGTTTCTCCTTTGCGCTTCCTTGAGTCCTAAATCCTACAAACTGGTCCTTTAAATTTAGGTGGCAAAAGTACAGATACTAAAAATACTCCAGTGAAAGTAGAACTACTGATTAAATTTTTCTTGTCTGTTACGTTGTTTTCGTCATGTTATATCTGTCACGTGTGATATGCATCGTTTTTGACTAGGGGAAGGCACGCAATGATGCAAAAAAAAAACAGAACATAAACAAAATTGATAATGCTGTTTAAATGCATTAAAACTGGATACATTTGTGTATAAATGTGTGGGGGGGGGATTGTCAGAAAAACAAGTATTAAAGTATTTGTACTTTGTCACTAAATTATAAAAATCACAGAATTTACTGCAGAGCTGTTTGAATTACACGATACAGAAATCCATAAACATTAATACAAGCACTACTGAACAATACATCCCCATGCTGCTGTTCCTTCTGTGCCCACATGGCGGTGCTGCAGGCCCTGGTAGGACATCAGTATGGCACAGCCAGTCTGCCCGCCCAGGTGGAGGTGTCAGAGTACCAGCTGCTGCTGCAGGAGGGCCAGCAAGCGGGCGTCAGCACCCGGGAGCTGGAGAGAGTGTACCAGAGGGACGAGAACACCATCCCTCCCTCCTACTGCCTGAGACCTGCACACAGACACACCTGCTGTCCTCAGGTGATTGTATTTACTGTCTTCATTCAGATTAAATTATGATTAAGATTTTCTTATTAGGCAAAGATGAATAGGTTTGTCCAAGTGCAGCTGCTAATTAAATTAGTACAAATTATGATTAGTGCCCTTATTGGGCAAAAACTATTGATGGATTACTGTATGAATAGAAGAGGTCTTTTACAAAATAAAGTTTTCTTACAGAAATAAAGCTCCCTTTTAGTATTTTTCCTTATAAAACCATATTAACTACTCTAAATATTAAATAATCCTATAATAATGTGTCATAATTTGCTCACAGATCTGATAACATTGTATTTCAGTATGTGTGTATGATTATACTTTAGAATTTGCCTGGATAAATAGTATTTAGTTATTTTCTAAACATTAGTTCCCACAGCTATTACATTGATGTTATACAATGTAATCGCTGTGGTACTCCTTTCTACAAAAGTATCTGTTTTTGTTCAGCAGGCAGAGGTTAAGGAAGAAGAGATGAAGGCTAAAGAAGACGAGCTGAGGAAGGTGTTTCAGACCACTGTGAGTCTGTGTGTCCACGGCGGTCTCATGACCCCAGAGAGAGCGCAGAGCTACTACAGATCAGGTGAGAGATACTGTATGTGTGCATGGGGTTTGAGTGTTGAAATATAATGTAACGTGTGCTTTGCTGCTTCTCTCCAGCCCTCGACGCAGATCTGCGATTTGCTCTGGACGACCGTCCTGATAATGACATCATCAGACGCTGCCTGGTTTACGTCCATAAGGTCATCAATGCAAAAGGAGAGACAGAGAAGGGACAGATGGACTCACAACTTCAGCCACAGTCAGAGGTAAGAGAGTTATTTATTTGATCGTATACCACAAACTGAGTGTCATAATATACCATTCACTGAGGCATTAATCCATTTATATAATAAGGGAAAAGTCCTGAAAATGATTTCTGCATCAACTAATACATCACTATTATTCTTTTTTCCTAGTTTTATTAGTCACAAACAAAATCTTTACATTTGTTTTAACAGAAGGAGAAACAATGCACATGTTCATAGCCAGATGTTTACATAAAACATTAAATCACCTCTGTAAACTATTATACGTACATCCACACATCAAGAGTTTTGATTCAAGTGAATGTGATATGAGAAGAATACGAGTCGTGCCCCCGTTAACAAGGGACATTTGCAAAATGGGTGCTTTCTTCCCCTTTTCTTTAAGTTAATCATTAGTTCCTGACAGAGAAACCTGATGTATGTATGTACTTGACACATCTGTCACATATCTATGTTTGATATATTTTCTTTGCATAACAACATTTTATGTTTTATAAATTATGGTTTTGTCATTTTGTCATATATGTCTTATAACATTAAATACATTCTATATACGTATTTCCAATGCAAATTGTATCAAAGGTGTCACAGAAACTTCATTTCCTGTATTTTCAGGCTTCGACTCCCGACCAGAGAACACCCACTGATGGACAATTGTTCTCAGAGCTTTGTGACAACTTCCTCCCTGGTCTCATCACTTCCTCCCAGCTTCTGGTCTACACCAGCGCCACAGAGTGCGACCGTCGCCATGGTTACACGAGAGCCAGGAGGCGGGGTTATGCCAAGTCTCTGTGCCAGCAGGTGTACTCTGACCTTGTGGGGTTGATTGACAGCGTGGACGTCTTAGAAAGCAGTGAAGACTCTCAGCTCGGTGATGCGTTATCCAGAGAGCAGACCGAGCAGGAGGAGCTGTGTGACATCATGTCTCGCTTTTATGACATCGTTCGGCCAGAAGAGGAGAAGGTGAGGATGATGGTGTTTCTCTGGATGATTTTATACATTAACATCCTTTTTTACTGCTTATGGTGTAGATATGGTCACTTCTCTCTGTTTCTGTTAATAGCTGAGGAAGATCAATACTTTTTTCACTCCGTGGATATTGACATTCTGATTCTTGATGCCAATAATTTCAGGTACACCACAGCATCACTACTGTAGAGTTAACTTTTCTTTTGTTGTAGGTCAGAGCCTATGTGGAGCAGAGTGAACAACAGTGCCCACTAGTGGTGACAGGAGGACCATGCACAGGGAAAGCAGTTCTGGTGGCACACTGTGCTCAACAGGTAAGTGGACTGAGGGGGCAAAACTTTCTGTTATTGTTCTATTAAATTTACATATGATTTTCTTGTTGTTTTGATATAATCTGTCAATAAAAGTTCACTTTTGTCCCAGTTCAACTCCCCTTTTTCAGGAAATCCAAACAATAAAATACATGTTACAGAGCTACAAATAAATATTCACAGTTAAGTGGGATGAACACAAATTTCCTTCTTCCATTTTTCTTTTTATTAAAAATATAAGAAGAAACAGTCTTTTACAGTAATTTTGTATCTTTCTTATTAGTGAAACACATTTAAATGACATTATTAAGTCAACATATAACTAAATTCTCAAGAAGCATTCATAAAAAAGTTCAAAAATAAACAAACAAACCAACAAATAAATAAAATGTGTGCAAACAAGGGCAACACAATGCCTACAACACATTTGCATTGTAAGACCGTCCATCAGGAATCTGTACAACATGGGTAACATGTGAACAACTGTTCTGTCTTTCTGTCTCCCTCCACAGATAAAGTCTTGGCTGCCAGACTGTGATCCTGTGGTGATCACTTATTTTTGCAACCTGTCAATCAACCCTTCTCCAAAGCACCTGTTGTCGAGCCTGTGTTATCAAATTGCCAGTAGATATCACGATAAACTGTCCTCGGAGCAGAATCCCAGCGACTTGGACGATCCTAGCTATATCACTAACCTCAGGGACCACAAATCCAACTGTAGCCTGGATCCTCACCCTGAACCCACCACCGGAGAGCCTGTTTCTGATCATAACCAAGACCATAGTACCGTACCACGCCCAGATCCTTCTGGCATCATAAAACCTGACATTTGTCTGTCTGAGCTTAAAGAACGTCTCTCATCGCTCCTCTCCCTCCTGCCTTCTAACAAACAGCTTCTAGTTCTGATCCTCGATGGCCTGGATCACATCGAGAACAACTTTGGACCTCAAATCATTGAGAGCCTCCCCTCCCCTCTTCCTCCCAATGTCAAACTCATCCTCACAGCCTCCTCCAAACGAACACATGTCTTGCAAGCCATCACCCAACAAGGAAGTCCACCTCAGTGTGTATCAGAGGGCAGTGAGAAGGAGTATGTGTGTGTACCGCTGGGATTGGAGAACAGGAAACAGTGTGTGAAGATGTTGGCGTCGCTGCTGGACAGTTCAGGGAGGAGGGTGACATCAGGACAACAGGCGCTGGTGAACCAGGCGCTGAATTCTTGTTGCCTGACTCTCTACGCTCGACTCCTGCACCAGCACACGTCACTGTGGCACTCTGGTAGGGCTAATACAGTAAACACACAGACAGATTCGTAAAGGATAAAGCTGGTGATGTTCTATATTTTTCTTACAGTCAACAAAACCCATAGAAATTCCAAAACAAAGAACTCGATAGTTTGTCTCTCAATACTTTCAGTACTTAATCTTTTTCTAAAACAGCTGGGGGCTGTAGTTTTTAGCAAATGTTATTCAAACAGGAGTAAATAGTGCAATTGTTGGGGATTATTTCCAGCCACAGATTTTGTGTGCTGGTGCAGAGGTTCTCTAAGTGAATACCTCAGTACTCTGCGGTGCCTTGAGAAATGGGATTTGCTTCAACGTTTCATCACATAAAAAAACAAGCCGTTATTTGCAGGAACTACATTTTCATATTATGTTGTCAAACACATTTCAATTATTGGAAGAATTAAGAAGCAGAAATAAACATTGAAATCATCATGTTAAGAATCCTGTTACATGTGCTGTTAAGCTGCAGCTGAGACGGTTCTCACAGTAACGCAACACTTTCTGGCAAGCAAGTGCTCACAAGCTCACAGTGAATGAAAACATGTCCCACAGTGCGAGTGTGCCTCATTCATATGTTTTTTTAATAGTTTTTAAGACAACAGTGGACTTCTATGGCACAAAGGAATAACCTTTATAAGACATTGGACGTACAAGCAATAGTTGCTACATTCATTGTTGGTTTTGGTCTTTACCTGGGATTTGTTGACAGTTTTATTACACTACATTTCTCTCTCTCTGCCCCTTTTTTTTCTCATCATCAGATTCAGATGTGACTGAGTCGTCTCTCCCTGATGGCGTCCATTCATCCGTTTCTGCGCTGCTGGATCACCTTGAGCAGAAACATGGCTCCTCTTTGGTGGCCCGTGCTGTCTCCTACCTCACCCTCTCCAGGACTGGGCTCACTGAGGCCGAGCTCGCTGATCTGCTGTGCAGTGATGAGGGGGTGCTGTCTGAGCATCTTCAGCAGGGCGAGAGCCCCTCCTCCAATATGAGGGTCCGGCAAGTCCACGTGGAGATACTTCTATTGGACCTCAGGAGGTTTCTCGTTAAGAGGACGGTTGCAGGGTCTCGTGTCTTGTTCTGGGTGAGCAGGCATTTCAAGCTGGTAGTGGCTAAGAAGTATTTAGGCACTCGTGAGGTGAGGAAAGAGATTCATTCAGCGATGGCAGACTACTTCAGTGGCCGATGGGCTTGTGGAAGTGCTCAACCACTGAAATCTGGACCAAACATGGACATCCCCCAAATGGAACTATACGCAGACCAGCAGCCATCCAGCCAGCTGTTTGCCTATTCTGCCACAGAGGTGGCCCGACTGAACTTGAGGCAGGTCTCAGAATTGCCGCATCACTTGTCACAAGGAAGTGACAAATGGGAGGAGTTGGAGCATTTGTTAATGTCTTTTGGGTTTCACCAGGCTGTGGTTCGAGCAGGACTCCTGGGAGATCTGGTAGCCATGTTGGAGGGTGAGGAGTGGTCATCCCACTCTCAGTTTTCAAGGGAAAGAGCACTCCTAGCAAGCATATTAAATTCTTGTGCTTGCTTACTGCAGAGCTCACCCCTGCAGCTGCCCACAGTGATGGAGACGAGTCTCTTCCCTTATCTGGAGGTCTTTCCTGCGCTCAGAGGTTATGTCAGAGACATCAGAAAGGAGAGGAGTAAAAGAGGAGGCGGATTAGGAGTAGCGCTCAGCCCTGCTCCCTCCTCTGTTCCCTTTGTTCAGCATTTAAAGTTTGATGCCAAAACCAAGGGCGTTTCAGTTACAGAAGCAGCTGGGACAGAGCGTGGGATAGTGGCAGAGGTCATGGATGATGGCACTGTTTGGTTTTGGAAAGGCTCTGGGTGTGATGTAGTCAAACTATTACTGAGCTGCGAGCAGAAGGAGTTGAAGTTTGCGGGAGTGAAGAGTAGCGGTCAGTTCATGCTGCTTTCCACACAGTGCAACAAGCTCTTCCTGTGGGATGTGACAGGCCCAGAAATATTTCTACAGCTTCAGGACCCTTTGAAAACAGAGTTTGTACCAGAGTCAAGCCAACAAACACAAATTGAGGGGTTTGTTGCATGTCAGAAGAAGCTATTCATGTGGTGGAAAGATGAGAGTTTTGTGAGCGTGTTTGATGTCTCCAGTGAGACCTTGACTCATTTCCAGTGTCAGAGCTGTGTGACCTGCTTGGTTTGCTCCTCTAATGGCTTTTATATGTACTGTGGGCAGGAAGAAAGCACAGTGTCCATATTTGACACTATCACCGGCAGCCTCCTTGGCACCTGTTCAAACTCAAACCACAATGCGGTAACATCAATGTTCCTCTGTGAAGACAAGAGGGAAATGGCTTGTGTTCACAGGACAGGTAATGTGACCTTGTGGGATGTGACAGCCAAAACAAAACCACCCAGACTTGTCAAAGAAAGCTTTACTGGGGACACATCTAATAACATCCTAAATACAGATTACTCGGATGAAATTGACACTTTACTGGTGTGTCAGTCTCACCAGGTTACTCTGTGGGATACATGTGATTGGGAGCTGTGGGACCAGTTCTTGGCTCCACAGGGCAGGGCCTTCACTCAAGCTGTGCTCTCACAGGATGGCCATCTTTTCCTGGCTTTGTTAGACGCCTGTCCCTTTGTCTTGGTTTGGAGGGTCAGCACAGGGCATTGTGTTCTCTCCTTAGAAGCAAACAAGCGGCCTCGTACGCTCCTCAAAATGCCCTCAGATGTCATTTGTGTCGCTCATGACGGCTGCCTGACAGCTTGGGACTCTGAGATGATAGAAGCTGCAGGTATAGCTCCAAAAATGGGGTGTGGCGTGAAAGAAGTAGTGGTCGAACGGACAGGCGAGTGGTTCTACACCACTGATGGGTCAGATACGGTGTGGAGATGGAGATTAGAAACAGGACTTCCACATGCTAACATCTTACATGATGGTCCTGTGGAAAAACTGCGCCTTTCTCCTAATGACATCCACCTTGTGACACTCTCAGCAGGGGAAATTTACGTTTGGCAAACAGAAACAGGTGAGAACATCCTGCGTATGAGTGGCAGCAGAGCGACAGACATCCTTATCACCCATAATGGTAACTTCGGGGTGAGTATTTCTGAGCGATGGTTGTCTCGGGTTTGGAAGCTGGCGAATGGGAGTATTGTGTGCAGCATACACCCATACCTATGTGACGCCCAGGTGTCGCCTGAAAACACCTTCCTTATTGGCCTTCGCTGTGGGGACCTGTTAGCTGCCAGTCTGTGGTCGGGCTCCATCAGCAAGCGCTTCTCCTGCGTGGCGAACTCAGAGCTTGTTGTAGCTTTCCATACAATTTCAGAGCACCCAGACTTTGTGGTGGTGATGGCTGCCTCAGGGGCAGTGTACACGTGGAAAGTAGCAGAGGAGACGGTGTGCAGGCACTTTCAGCTGCCTTATATGTTTCACTGCCAGCCGCAACACTTCCAAATGTCCTCTAATGGGAACTACGCCCTGCTGTCAACTCATAATGAAGCGATCAACCTCATGGACCTATCTCAGGCCAGACTGTGCTCATTCAAAGCTGAGGGTCCCGTCATTAAAGCGTGTTTGGATAAAAATGGATGTTACATTGCCTACATATCCTACCCCACCACTACGGAGAAAAGCTGCGTCTGTTCCCTGCATGCGAGGCCCGTCCTCACAGTCGTACGACTCACAGATGGGGAAAGAATAGGAAGTGTGTGTCTGTCTAAGAACCCGTCGACTCTGGTCGTGTACAAGCGTCAGTGTGTGTTCGTGGGCTTTGAGGACGGGTCTGTAGGTGTGTATTCTATTTTAGATCTCGCGATCAATGGGGAAGAGTCGTTCAGGTGCAGAGATAATCTGAATGGTCAGTTGAAGCAATGCCCCTTTGACAGAACGCCATCCAGCTGGTTACCGCTAGCAACCCCCAATATCGCATGGCCTTAAGATCATTATACACTGTTGTTGGACTGCGTTTAAAATGCATGTATATAGATAATAAATGTGACAGCACACAAAGTGAAGAATGTGTTGTATGTAAAATGTATATATTGATATATAAAAATAGAAACACCTGCATGGTTAAACTGTTTCTAAGCACCTCTGTAAGCCTGCAGCACCTTTTGTTTCATTTTCAGCTGGTCCAGGTTGATGATACACTTCACAGCAGAAGCATTGAGATCCAGTTTCATTTCTGTGAAAAGAAAACCAAATAACTGAGCAGCTTCTGTCACATCTACTGCATGTATTAACACAGAGATCATCTTACACATTTATTTGAAATAAAGTAATGTGGTATGAATGTCTTGTTTATATTCCTGTTTCTGTGGTGAGAAGTAATGCCAATTTAACATGCTTGCATCACTTTTTGTATAAGAATGACTGTCCTCTTGGCAGAAATGTCAGAAAATAGATATATAGAGAGTATTTTGTCTGTATGTTTTTAAAAAATCTAAACCCTGGCCTTGTATTGATTAAAAGATACTTTATTTAGATTATGTTCATTGGTTCTGTTCACTCTAAACAAAAAAAAAGTCACACCTGTTCTCATTGCAGGTAGATTGTATTTTTAAGACATTTAAGAGTGCGTCACATTTCGTGTGTAAAGCCTAAATAATCGAAACTAACTTTTTAAAGATAAGAGATCTCTTCTGTCGTACGAACTTCTGTTAGTCTCATGTTGCCTTCCATGTTACTCTGTAAGCTTGTAAATTTTAAAACTTCTCTCGTACATCCTATTGTTTGTGCACTGCTCGGAAATAAATAACAAATTGCACCAAATAACAAACGTCGTTATTGTTAGTCACTTTAATTCTTACAAAATACCTACATAATACTAGCAGAATGAGTTTCTCCAGTGCATATTTCTGATAGAGATATGATTTTTCCGACAGCCCTTGAAGGCAGCATCAGCTGATTTAAAGTCTCCAGCAGACAGAGGCTGTGATCAGTCCAGGTGTAGACATGGTGCAGCTGCACTGTTGGGGAGACAGCTCCAGTGGACAGTACGGTCCACAGACCGCCCTCAGCCCGGTGTCCTGGACGCTTACCGGGGTGATCACCGACATCTGCTGCGGGGAGCAGCACACTTTATTCCTCACCAGGGATGGAGGCGTTTTATCATGTGGACATAACTCACAGAGACAGCTCGGACGAAAGAAATGTAAAGATGGAAGGACACCAGGTTGGTAGGCTTACAGTGGGGACATCTGTCAAAAAGGATGTAGAATAGACACAAGAAAATACTCCTACAGGAATATTCCCGTTAGGATTATTGTCGGTCTGACTGTTAAATAACAAAAGTTCAGTTACTGAATTATTATCTGATCTTCTTTGGTTCTTATTCTCGAGTCTGTAAAGAAAGTTTCATCTAAGCAATAACTTTATCTTGTGTTTAGTTTCTGCTGACAACCTAATGAGTTTATTGCATGCACCCAGAGCCATAAATCAGCATTACGCAGGATAATTAACTGAGCTAAGTTTCAGTTTCGTTTCCTTGTTGTCAGTCTGCACAACGAAAGTTAACTAAACTGTACTTTATTATGCGTTGAGTTCACGTGCAGGTGGAAACTTTCGGATATTGTTTGATGTTTAGTCTGATGAACTGCAAAATATTGGAGAACATAAATAATGGTGAATAGGTGAATACAGTAATAGTGAGTGGTATTTAAAACAAAACAATATTACAATGTAAAATACTTCTGCATTCAAGAGGACATTTAGAATGATTTATGATTATATTATTGACATGTAAGGAGCATTTTTTGTTGCAGGTTTAGATTGAACTTATTTGAACTACTTTATCTACTGGTGGTGGATAGTTTAATCTATATCAGTTAATCACATTGAGCTGATTTGATGTAAATTCTTCATGTGAAAAGTAACTAGAAACTATAGCTGTCAAATTAATCAGTTAAGCAGAAGTATAAATAAAATGAAAATACTCAAGTAGTGTTTGAGCAAAGGTATTTACTGACTTTCCACTATTGTAATTTAGCACTTAACATAGGCTCAGACCTTAAATGCTGTGTTTAGGTTTGCATTTTCAGGCAGTTTATGCTTATTACTATATTAAAGTTATTATGTTTAGATAAGTATTGTTACACTTTACATCCTAGCTGTTGAACTAAATGGGTTTCTGATTGTGATTCTCCATCTTTCCTCCTGTATTAGGTCGTGTGGAGGGGCTGGGTGATGTGGTGTCGATGGCTTGTGGCCAGGACCACAGTCTGGCGGTGTCTGCATCTGGACACGTGTTCTCCTGGGGGGCTGAAGGGGATGGACAGCTAGGCATACCACCACACCTACTGTGCAACAGTCACAGACCGAAGCAAGTTCTCAGTAAAAATATATGAATGTGCATACTCATGACTGAAACTTGGCATTTTTTAATCTATTATTGTCTCATCAACATGCAGTCGGGTGCCCATACCAATACCAATACCGGTGATTCAGGTTGCTTGTGGAAACTCCCACTCTCTGGCACTGACTAAAGGTACAACACTGAACACCCTGAGTGATAACGTCTGTGTGTATTTTTATGGAACAGTTCCAGCTCCAATTTGACAGCTGTTTAATTATGTGTAACGTAGCAAGGATTTGTTTTTGCTACTGTACCACTGTTCCAAATCCACTTTTCCAATTCCCCTGCAGACATGACATTGTGCAAATTAATGTTTTTGACATCAGCAGCTTCAACCAACCACAGCAACACAGTCCAGCCAATATTCAACTCCCATAAAAGATTACTTCAACCCCAAAGAGACCATCCTTTTTGTTTGCATTAAGTTGTGTCTTGAATTTGTTCTTAATGTCTTGCCAGGCACATTTCTGTGGGCAATTTTGTGAGCTCATCTTAGGACAAGTACCTGCACCACAGGTTCTCTTGCATTAGAGCAGTAATAGAGTATATAACCTGAGAAGAAACTTAATTTTCTTGAAATGACTTCCTTGTAATACCACCTGTGTTATATGTGATATGTGTTTGTTCAGTAAGAAATAGCTGATTATTACATTGATAAGCTTAAGTAATGACCTCTGTAGGTTAATTGGCATAATTGGTTGTCATGGTGTACATATTGTGAAAGTAAAGGTTATAATTAAGTTAAGTTAAATATTGATTTTACATGCTGACATCTACTGATAGAGCATACAGACTTTGTGTTTAATTAAATTTAGCTCCATTATTCTCAACTTTCCAGGAGGAGATGTCTACTCGTGGGGTTTGAACAGTCACGGTCAGCTGGGCCTGGGGAAGGAGGTGTCACTGCAGAACACACCTCTCCTGGTGTGCGCTCTGACCGGTGTAGCGGTGACCCAGATTTCTGCCGGAGCGACCCACACTCTGTTCCTCACACTCCCAGGCCTGGTGTACTGCTGCGGGGCCAATCAGTCGGGACAGCTGGGGCTCAATCGGAGGGATCCGAAAGGTACAAATAATTGACTTTAAGTCAGTCACAAACTTACTTGCTCACGTTTAACAAGCAACAGATCGTCATTCATTGGTAATTTTCAGACAAATTCTACACGTCTACACACCAATCTGTACCACCTGCAGGCTATGAGTATTCCTGCTGCAGCTTTATCTTTTCAAAAGTTTTCTTTGTGTTTTTTAGGCTTTTTATTTAACACTTAACAGCAACACTTAACACAAACTAATGAATAATAAATCTGAACGCACATTATGTCAAACTAAACTCACACTATATAGTTATTCAAGTAACAGAGCTAAATTAAAAAAAGAAATTTAGGATTTTCTATTTAGGTAGCCAAAATTAGATACCTCCTTGCTAGTTTTATATGACCAAACAATACAAACCTTATTTTATGTGAAAATATAAATAGCATCAATATAGACAAATATAATTAATTTGAATTTTGGTTCACACTGTACAAATTGAACAATGACTGCTATTTCTGGATACCATCTTTGGATTTGGAAACAGAGTCACAACCTGAAAACAGGCTAAAAATCTTGCTGCAAACTAAACGTAGATCCTTAGAGTGTGTTATTTTGGGGTAAAAAAACATAATGATGATACATCAGAGGCACAGACTGGGACATTTAACCTCACATCAACCTCCTGATTATATATTTCATCTAATTTATCAGATTCTTACCATCTTTTTTTCATTTCTTACCGTCTTTAACAGGCAGGTTCAACGTCTGTATGGTACCTGCCCTCAGACCTCTGGGCGTCTCCTTCATAAGCTGTGGAGAGGCGCACTCGGCGGTGTTAACAAAGGTACAAACTTCACTTCCAGCCCGTTTCTCAGCCGTATATGTTGGGTTGATTTACAAAAACTGACAAAATGATCACACTGTCAAGATATGACGATATTATGTGATGCTGTGATTTCTAGGATGGCAAGGTTTTCACTTTTGGAGAGGGGCGCCACGGTCAGCTCGGTCATAACTCGTCTGCTGATGAAGTGAGACCCAGACTGGTCGATGGTCTGGATGGACTCGCCTCACATATTTCATGTGGCAGGTGTTTATGTGAACATTGAAACTTTGAGAATTAAAGTAATTGAGGTGAGCCATTACTATATAATATGAAGTTTCTCAGTAAATTCACGATTATTTCTTGTCTCCCAGATGTCACACTCTGGTTTTGGGCACCTCTGGCCAACTGTGGGCTTTTGGCAATGGGGCCAAAGGTCAAATTGGGACTGGACGACCAGAGGACAGTCTGATTCCCACTCTCGTACAGCTTCCGTGGACCACTGACAGTGCAGCAGCCGTTCCCGAAAGTATGTATAAATGGGCAGCGTGCCGTGGTCTTCTTCACATTACCTATCACATTACGTATCACTTTAATCTTATGAATATCTCAGATTAAAGGTCCAGTGTGTAACATTTAAGAGGGATATGGAATGGTGTATGATCATCTGAAACTAAGAATCATTGTTTTTTTAGAATGAGTCATTTTTTTTTCTACAGACGTGGTGGGTTGCTTTCAGTAGCACTTAGTAGTCAGTAGCTATGTAGAACTGCCATGTTTCTACAGTAGCCCAGAACGGACAAACCAAACACTAGCTGTTGACTGTATTTGAGTTTTTCACAGATTTTGTTGCCACCGTAGTTTCTTCTTCTTCAAGTGAAGGGAGGGAGCTGCAATTACGTTGCTAGATGATCCTAAACAAGAACTTTAGGTTATGAAGCAGAGAACTTCCTCCTTAGTAGTAATATGGCTGCAAAGACGGATGTTATTCTTAGACAGTTCCTCAGAAATATTCGGGAGTCACAACAGTTGGCAGTAAAACATTAAGTTAAATGAGTATTCTTTTAATCTTGTGTTCTGTTATGGTAGAAAGGGGTGTAAGATTTAGGTTACATTTATAAGTGTGTTTTTATTTTATTTGTTTGAGCAGACCTGAAAATATCGACCAGGTGGAATACAAACTTCGCTTACGCTTCACCTACACAGGTAACACGTTCAAGTATTTGAAAACTCATTGTCTTTATAGACTTTCACATAAAGCTACCCAAATGTTTTTTTTTAATTAAGCACCTTAGTGTAAAACTGATCTTATATGGCTTTAATGTGCCCTTGTATAAAACGTCTTCATGTCTGTCTTTTAAGAGATCGGAACGAGGACAGATAACTGGGCGGCTGGATGAGACAAAACTACAAAAATGGCTGACAATGAAACACAGCAATGAAGCGGCAAAGAGGTCCTTTTTTCATAATTGTATTGTATGTTATATTTATGTATTAAGTATATGTATTATGTAACTACAGTGTTTGTAAGCCTCCCCGTTTCTTTCTTTACTCAACAGAGAAATATGTTTGATGTTTTTGACAAGTTCA